AAGTCGCTTTGGATAAAAGCGTCAGCTAAATGTAATGTAATGTAAAAAATGGAAAATGGCTTTAGTGTTTTGCACTTAATTATGAGTTCAAGTTTCCACAAAAAGTAATCAATTCAAGACAGTCATGATGTCGTATAAAAAGAAAGCGGGGTTTGTTGGATAACAGAAAAAGCACTGTCTTGTGGCCACTAATGCTAGATTGGAAGTTGTGATGTTGCCCGTTTCCATATGATGGGAGGGGCACATGGTGTTCACAGATCTCAAACAGTGTCATTGGTCGGGTTTTTTATTAAAAAACATGCCTAAGCCTTGAGGTAGCAACTAAATCTGCTTTTTTCCCCATTTGAACAAGTGTGTGTTTGGGATCTATAAGAGATTTAAAATGTAAGAAAGCTGTGGTATTATACTTTTGTGTACACATTTCTTTGAGCAATGCCTCTTCGGACTGAGGGTAACTGTTTTTGACTGCCTGTCAACACCGAGAATATTCAGTGATCATGAATAAAACATGAGTGAGCAATGTCCTATCACATCACTGTCATCTTTTCATCTCAGATAGCAGCTGCAGTGTTGTTCTTAAAGAGGGCCTGTTGTGCTTTTTGGGGTGTTCCCTTTCCTGTCGAGTGTTGTATAGGTTTTTGTGCATGTAGGTCTGCAAAGGCTCAAATTCCTCGACAGCGCCAGACAGATTTTTCCAAAAGTAGAAAGTCATAATGCACAAAAATACACAATTGGTATTTGCTTCAGAGACAACATCTTAGTTAAAAATATTTAAAACCCTTTAACTTTGGCTCAAGTTACAGCAGAGTCTTTGCGGCAAGACTCAAACTGCATTTTCATAGATCCTTCTTTCTGGGGTGTCCAAGCTCAGTGTTTTATTTTTGCCCCACATTCCCTAGAAGGAGAAGATATCTCCTACGGCCCGTCCACACAGCGGCGTGCGTTGAAGCTTCCAACGCTTCTGCCCATTCACTTTGAATGGGGTAATGTCACTTTTAGCCGAACTGCATTTTGGGAAGCGACGTGGAGCGTTGCTGGCGTTGCTCGCTTCAAAAGTTGAGCAATGTTCAACTTTTGGCGCCTCGGCAGAAGCGTCAGCCAATGAAATCCCGTTTATGCAAATCTGCCAGTACAAGAGCTAGCCAATCAAACCGCGTGTATGCTGGGAGAGACTACGCAGGTCATTTCCTCATATTCCAAAAAATGGAGGGAAAATTCATTATAGCGGTAGTGAATCACCCGGTGCTGTATGATCTGTCTCTGTTCATCTACCTGCCTGTCAGCCTTCCATCTGTGCACAAACTTATCTCGTGCCCTCATTGGTCATGTGCGCGTTCGTGTGTGTTGGAGGAGGGGCTCTGTAAGGAAGGGGCTGATTTTTTCAGGTTGTGTATTTTCAAATTCTAGCGCACTCGAGCTGGTTTCTCAAATCACCTACCCCACCTTTAAGAGTTGAAGTACTTGAATTCACACATGTGTCACACAGGTGTCCATTTTGAAACCCCTCCGCAGCAGTACAGTGTAACCGTAAAGGAGCCTGATCTCATTTGCAATTGAAACACGTGAATTGTACAGTACTTCATACAGGCTCGGGCGTAAACAGAGATTAGAGTGATGTTAAGTGTTTGCGAGGCGCCATTGCTACTGTGGGCACATTAGATGGCTGACTAAATTGGCACGAGGGGCTCCGTGCCCCATGCCAGACCCCCGGAGGCACAACAATACAGATAATGATAATTCAGTCATCAAAACTGAGGGGAGCTTGATGGAGACTTCACAATGTCCATCAGGCGTCCACTCTTTTTGTATTGAGGGATCAAGGAGACGAGGTGAATTCAGATTATTGAAAGCCAACGAGCCACGCATCAATGTTAAGAGACGGGTTATTGGTTGAGTAATTCTCTGTTAATTACTAGCCTTTATTTCCCATCCTTTCTGTCTCTTATTTTAGCTGCAAAATGATAGAGGATGGAGGAAGCGTTTCCACTCCGTCTGGTGCCCACATATTTTCCTCCTGCTGGCCTTGCACATTTTATTCAATCAAGTGCTTTAACAGTATAGAAAAAGCCTTTTGTATGCAATCAGCCTGTGTAGCTAAACCTTCACAGAGTGGAGCTGAAAGTAAATGCAAAACTGTCAAGAAAAATCTCTCCTTCACCCTTGTTTTTATCGACCTGTGTTGTGAAAGTCCAGGGCAGAAAGGGGCGTATTCGCAGCAACCAGCTGTGTGCTAACAAAGCTAGCTGACAACATCTCAAACACTTATTGATAAAAGCTTTTAAAAGCAGAGGTGGCAGTTCGGTAGAAGAAGGAAAGAAAATCTCCCACATTGCAAAGCGGGGCCATGTCTATTCATTAGAACTGTCAAAGGCACTTAAGGCTCCTCTGAGTGGAGGCTAACAGCGTGCCGACAGGGGGTTAGCGCAGCGCGGAGGCTAACAGCGACATCATCCACACTTGAGCTCAGGGGTAAGTGAGTGCACGGTGGCTAATAGGCTCTGTTCCATTTGATCTTACAGCCAATCTAACCTGAGAGAGCTTTGCCCACTGAACTCATGTCAGCGGGAGGTGGAGGACGAGGCGATCGACACATTGTTTCGGCTTTAGTGTGCTTGCCATTTCAGTGCCGATTATCAAATCTGAGCGTACTGTAAAGAGGATTCTGAACAAACCATGACTTAAAAAGGTCCCATGTCTTGCTTTTCCGGTTATTACCCGTCCCTTTGTGTGTTATGTAGCCTTTGTCTGCATGTAAACGGTCTGCAGAGTCACAAACCCTCAAAGTACACCCTGTAGCGAGTACAACTCTAACACAGAAAATACCTGTCTATGCTGCCCCAGAACGCCTCGTTGGACATTTCTCTTTTTCAATTTTTTTGTAAATGTTTTCCAAATGGACCAATCCGTGGAGCTCCTCACACACTCAGCCTTATATTTTCTCAGGCTGTGAGTGTGTGGCGAACTGTGTGGCGAACAGCCTGGCTGTGAGTGTGTGCTCAGGCTGAGTTCCGCGGTGTCTCGCTGTCTCGCAGACCCCACGCAGCAACCAGGAAACGACACCAGTAATCCAGCTCACACTGTCCGCTCCTCGAGCCTCAAAGGGCGAAGCAGCGAGCCCCGCAACGTCCCGCCAACACGGCACCCAGACCCCTCGCAGCATTCTCATCTGTTTGTCATTACTGGTGTCATTTTTCTGGTTGCTAACCAACGCCATTGTAACACCTAATCACTGATGTTCCGCTGTAACGGTGGTGGACTCATCAGAACAGAGTGGGCGAGCTGACCAATCAGAGCACAGTAGAGGGGGGGGGGGGGCAGGAGCTCCAACAAGCCGTGTAGGACATCGAGTGAATACACATACTATACAGAGATGCTGTATGAGAAACCAATGTGAGTTTGGAACATTGAACAATGTAAATCTATTCTAGTAGACCTCAACAATGGAGTTATGATCAGTAGAAAGGGCCATGTCATGGGACCTTCAAGTGTCAGCTGAAGAGCAAGGAAAAAAGAGTGGAATAAATGTCCAAAATGAACCTGTGGAGCTTTCTGCCGAGCAACGCTTGAATCTTTCATCCACGCCTCACCAGGAGGTTGTATGTAAGCCTATTTACCAGGTTGGCCTTGCACTCCTGCATGCATTTGTTTAACAAAACAACATGTCTGACAGTTGATGCATTTTGGATGCTTATCAAACAAAAGGCTTTAAATCTATATGCAATCAAGGTTGCCTTTTTGTAAAGAGAAGCCAAACATTAGCCAAAAGTTATTTCAAAGGTTAAAAGATAGCAAGAGAAGCAGCAACCGTCATTATTTAGTGAAGGAGAGAACGTTGCAATGAAATAAAAAAGCATTATTTCAACAAATGAGAAGTAGAAAAAGGGATGTCTAACTCATCTAAAGAATCATTCAGACTCAGGCATCTCTTGATCACCACCTCATTTTCAACAAACTCTTTAGGGAAACAAAGCCATATGCAGGGTTACATTAGGCAAGTGCATAAAGGACATGTTTATAACCCATCCTCAAGGACCACAGCAATTCACATGAATGTTAACAAGTTATTATTCATGCTAGCGGTGTATTATCAGGGTGGCTGATTATATTATGTTTATCTTGTTTGTTTTGCAGCGTGATCAATGCCACCAGTCCTCGGGGAGAGCAGCTACTCTAATTAGCAAAGGAAGAGCCAAACTCAATAGGACGCTGTGTTATTTCGTTTTGGTTCCTTTTTTCCCAAAGAAAAGGAACATTGTGCAGGAAATCTGAGTCATATTTGGGCAACTTTGGATGAAATATTTGAGGCTGTATTTACAGAGGAACTGCGGTTCTGCTGATGAAAATCACAGCTGACCTGTTTGTCTGGATGCACAAATAAAGCTTGTCTTTGTCAAACGCTAGGGAGTCTCAAATTCCACCATCTGTTTGTATCATACACCGTTGATATTTTGTAATGTTTTTAACATTTAGTCAATTGTCTTTTTGTGTAGTATTTATAATCAGAACCACTTCCAATTGTGAACAGTGTTTTTAAATCAGTACTTTGTTTACCAGAGTTACACAAAAGTTCAAAAAGAAGACAAAAGTCATTAAGGGTTACACAAGAAGCAAATGTGTTGTTGTTATATGACATATGAGGGAGGCTGTGGCGCAGTGGACTAGTGCGTATGTGTTCGGATCAGGGGGTCACACTTTGGATAGAAGCGTCTAACATGTAATGTAATCGAACATATCATTAGGATTCCTTACATTTTGCAGTCAAATAATGAGAAGATAACAAATGTCATGTTTCTGGTGGATTATCTTAAAACAAACTAAAAGGTCATGAGGTTAAAAAGATGTGGATTTAAAGGGCTGAGAAGGGTTTAGCCAACTAGTAGTTGGATGGGAAATAATTGGAAACACTTAGATAAAAAGAAGACACACACTTGAAGTCGTCCCCCAGCATTTCCTCCCACTCCCCCCCCCCCCTTTGATTTGATAGGAAAATGTCACAACACTTCTGAACACACACACACACACAAGTTGTTTCTTTCAATCCAGTTTCCGTACTTATAAGAGGCAGAGCTACCTGTCTTTCAACTAAAGACTGCAGTGTATTCCGCCTCTGGCTGTCCCATTCTGGCCCACTTCACTGTATCAATAACAAAGTAAACCCTTTAAATGAGAGAGATAAAGCACTCCTCTGATATCATCATGATTACTATGTGCACATAACAGTAAAGAGGGCTGTTAGGTGGTGTTAGATCTGTGAGTAGCAGCGTGCTGAGGCATGCTGGGAGACTTCCCTGAGTGAGAGGTGCAGATCAGAGGAGCGCAGGAGAAAGGGAAACCTGTGTTTTCACTGATTGATATTGTGATCTAACGAGCAGAGGATCTGTCAGGTGTAATCTAGATGATCAAAGATCCACTGGAGAGGATGTTTCAGAAAGGGAAAACAAAATACAGGTAGGCTTTTCTGGTGTGTAAGTGAAGATTAGAAGAGAGACAACGGCATCCTGTCTATCATGTGAGGGAATGAACTAGCGTGCCTCGTTCTCTGTGTGATTATGTTTATGTGCTGCTTTTCAAAAGGCCCTATCTTATTGTCTAACCATGCATTAGGGTATTTTAGCCTTTGCAGACCTACATGCACAAAAACCTCTATAACACACTACAGGGAAAGCATAAGAGGGCCCCTTTAATATGATATGTGTTTATACAATATTTCCCCAAATCTATATGGGATAATAAAATATGTTCTCGCAAACATTTTTCATTCAACATGAATCCAAAACTATTTTTTCTTCAACCGTCTGAAGTACACATATTGGAGTCAAAAGGCATTTTAAATGACAGCAGCCAAACACTTCAGTGATGTTTCTAAGTTGAAGAGTGGCGAGACGTCACAGCCTCCAGGTCTGAACTGTGTGAATGTTAAGTCGGGCGGTGTTGAAATTCTGTGTTGGGCCCCCAATTTTCCTTGGAGGCATCACAGTTCAAAAACACACACACACACACACACACACACACACACACACACACACACACACATACACTGAGCTGAAGACGTTAGCCTACCGTCTTGCTCGGTCTTGGTCAGCTCCACCAGTTTCTTCTGCTTCAGAGTGTCCACCACGTCGGCCAGGCTTCCCTTGCGGCGCTCCGGCGTCCCGAAGGCGAGGCAGATCATCGGATCCTCTGGCTTCGGTGGAGAGGTAGAGTTAGTCCGGTACGAGTAGACTGAGCAGCCTTTACTGCTTTCAATGTCCTGGAAAGAGACGGAAAAAGAGACACAAGGTCAGGTCAACGCTGATTCTAATCTCACTGAATTCGATTTAGACCAGACAAATGCATCGCTTATATACACTTCATGCCAACGGTGTTATGTTGGGACTATCACACAATTGATTTGTTTAACATTGGTGAGGTCTGGGTCAGAGTACTAGGTCTATTACAGAATAGAGCCCACTTTACGTCAACTAATAGGGTATTCAAAAGACCATTATAAAGGAGCAAAGGACATGAATACATCACAGAAATACTGTAAATCTCAGCTAACTACGTAGGCAATTTTGGATCAGTGCTAAATTAAATCACTTATTTGTAGATGAACTTAAATGAACTGAAATAATTGTTTTTCTTTATTCCTGAAAGCCTGGGCTGCTTTTTTACCATGGCAGTGTTTTTATTTTCATTTTATTTCACTAAAGTGTGTTTTATTTAGTAAGTTAGTTTACGGCATTGTTTTAGTCTTTTCTGCACTGAAGCTTTGCTGTTGTAACGCTGTGTATTTCATCGATGTCAGAAGAATAAACGTTTATTATTCTGATTATGCTTCTCAATAAAACGTACATTTTATCCATCAGCTCCGCCAATGAGATTTTGCTTTCGGTTTGTCGGTTTGTTTTTTTGGAAGGTTTACGGGAAAGGAATACAGGCCCGATTTTCATTAAACTCAGTATTTGGCCAAAGAAGAACACATTTAGGAGCAAACCCTCATCACAGTGCAGATGCATTCATTATTCTTCCCTGAAACGGCCTTGCCGGTGGTCTGAAGTCTCTTCCAGTTGAGTAATGATCCAGGAAGAATTATGAAACTAAGGTTTTCCAAAGTTGAAGTCCCAAAAAATGACATGTTGGCACAGTTTTACCAACTTGGCTCCTGCTCTATAGCCTGTTCTATAAGGTAGTGCCAATGTACATGTACGAGTGACTCCATTGATGGACCCTTATGCCTTCAGGAACAGAGTGTTTCGCCCACTGCTGTTTACTCTGCTGTGTTTTGAGTTAAGTGAGAGGCATACGGAGTCTATATTTACCGAGAAGATAAGCCCTGCAAGACGACCACATTGTCCCACACAACAGACACTCCAGCACAGGTGTTCTAACACCGGGGTCTATTTCTGGACGCTTTCTCCTCCTCTTACAGAGTGGGGGGATCTCCAAGAACTTTAGAAGGCTTAGGTTTCAAAGACAAGGGGCTTTAACTAACAGCAGGATCTTAAGACGCCCTTGAAATGGCTCCTGGAGGCCCTGTTGTGCACTTTGTCTTTAAGCGGAAGATGCCTCTGTAATGAGGATTAGGAGATAGTGTGTCACTTGTGGGAAGTTCAGGTGTATTCTTTTCTGCTCGTGCACAATGCTGCCAAGGACTATTACAAACCGAGTGGGGGAGGCAGATCACATTTAAAACCCAAAGGTCACACATTCAGTCACTGCAGCACACAATAAACAACCATGAACTCTGTGATGCATTTGATTATTATTATTAAAAGTTAGAATAAAATATTTGAGGAAAGCTTTGTAGGCTTTGCACAATTCATGAATCTGTTCCCAAATCAATTTTTAAAAGTGAATTCAAATGATGCATTCAATTTTGTGATACATTTAAGTGAACTTTTTCAAAGATACTTTTTAAAAAACTGGCCTTCAAATATCAGCAAATGGACTCGTTTTTCCAAAAGTGAATTGTCCCTAACTGTGATGGTGGAAAAGGAAAATATTTAGTTGTCAGTCCTAAACTTCAATATCTTCCAAAAAAGTGTTTTATTACTTCTATTGCTTTTGTGTGTGTCGTGTTACCTCGTCACCGTATTGCTAACTTTTTTTTTGTCTAAAAAATGGTTCCTATCAGACTCCTGCTGTCAGCCATGTGGAGAATAGTCACATTCAGAGACAACTTCAAAAGCAACATTTTGCATCAAGGCCACACCAAAAATTGTGTTTAAAGTTGTTAGTGTTTAATTGTTGTTATTATTATGTATTTCGAATCATTATTATTATTATTCATGAACATGTTCTGATAATACGCTACAAAGTGTTGTATATACTGTATGTCAAACGTGTGTCTATACCATTTCTTGTGTTACTGGACAGACAAATGGATTTATCTCAGATACATTATGCTTAAAGTATTCATGCTCATATAAGCATATGTGTGTAATAAAAGGTAGAAAAGACCCTTCACAAAGGCAATAAGTGACATGATTACAATGAAGACATATTGTTAATATCAGACAACTACAAAGGCAAATCTGAATCAGTGAAGAATAAAAAAACGAATCTGTATTTTTTTTAAAAACATGAATAGGGCTTTTGTTTGGGAAGTGTGTTCTGCCACAACTTTGATACCTAAGGAAACTTTACTCTCAGAACATTCCCTTTCCCTCAGAGGCTGAAGTCAAACACACCTCCTCCATTAGGGACCAACAGAACCTGAAGCCAAGTAACTAACACCTCAACACACACACACACACACACACACACACACACACACACACACACACACACACGAAAACAGGCAGTAGAGATATATTAGAACCGAGGGCTATAACTCTCTGGAAGAGAAGCCTCACTGGGCTGCCTACAGCACTGCCTACAGACACACACACACACACACACACACACACACACACACACACACACACACACACACACACACACACACACACACACACACACACACACACACACACACACACACACACACACACACACACCAGAGAGGACTACTGGTGTGTGTGTGTGTGTGTGTGTGTGTGTTGTGTGTGTGTGTGTGTGTGTGTGTGTGTGGTGTGTGTGTGTGTGTGTGTGCGTGTGTGTGTGTGTGTTGTGTGTGTGTGTGTGTGTGTATTCAATTGTGCACAATCATCATTATGCATGAGAATCTGCGCAGCCATGAGTGGTTTATGAGTCATGTGCCCGGAGTGTGTACACTGTGTACACTGTGTACACACTCTAACCACATTTGTTTTATATATTTGAGTTATAGCAACACATCTCAAGATAAGATATGGTCAATTTCTCAGCGCCGCGCGTAATTCACGTCTCACCATCGCAGCGGGCACCACGTTCTCCCACTCAGCATCCGTCAGCTTCTCCCTGATTGGCTGCAGCTCGTCCGGGTGGGGTCTGTCGTGTGAGGGGGGGGTCGGCGGCTCCTTCGGGCCCTCTCTCTCCTCGCTCGCCCAGGCCGGGTTGTCCTGACCCATCGCTTCCTCTTCCTCAGATGCTGGGTGGAAGGGAGGCGTTGCTCGCATGGAAGACATCATTCTGTGAAGGAAAAGGAAAGGAGATGGTTTCAATTTTGTGGCCACAGTTTGTACCGGTACATTAACACATGTCATTATAGGCAAGTGTTGGGTATAGAAGAAGAGGGATGAGGAGAAGACTTGATACAACATAACATAATGTAGAAATAACCCGTGACGAGCTGAGGCTCTAAACCTGTGCTGCTGACCTCAGAAGGATAGAGAAGGAAACATATTGATCACCAGTGAGACAGTGACCAAAACCATCTTGAAGAGGTAGTTGTGGGACATTGCCATAAAGGTTAGAAGGTGTGTAAAAATACATCTCTTCCATTTTGCAGTGAACGTACTGCATAACTGAGTCCATTTTTCCCAGACAAGGATCCTGCCATTGTTGTGTGTGATTGAGTGTGTGAGCATCTCTAAGTTTATCCAGTATGCTCATTTATGGCTTTATGCTCTCTTGGTTTGCGGTAATTCAATTCATTTTTATCACAATAAATTCTTGTGGGATTAAATGTTTTTTCAGGCAGCTTCAGGGCGGCAGTAAAACAGCTCTGCCCCAGACACACCTGGCAGAGACATGCACTCTCTAATGCTGTACTGACACACCACTGTAATGTGGACAATCATTAAAAAATACACTTTACGTGACTAAATCATAGGTATGTACTTATTATTGATTATATTTATTGTAGGTATTAATTTGTATTTTTATAAAATGTGTGTTAGAGCTTATGCTTGATTATCATTATTACTATTATTATTATTTATAATTATACTTTTCTGATAATTCGCTAAACATTGTTGCATAATGTATTGTCTTCGTTTCCCCCCCTTACTTTGGTGTTCACGGTCAAATTTGACCGGTCCTGTTTTAACTGCTATTACATTAACACAAAAACCTTTAATCATCACCACATTTAATTTAACACCCTTTCAAACTGTACATATTGTATCAGACTACTGGCATACATGAAACACTGCAGTAAATATACAAAGAATAGACACTGAACATGTATTGTGTGTGTGTGGTGTGTGTTGTGTGTGTGTGTGTGTGTGTGTTGGTGTGTGTGTGTGTTTGTGTGTGTGGGTGGTGTGTGTGTGTGGTGTGTTGTGTGTGTGTGTGTGTGTGTGTGTGTGTGTGTGTGGTGTGTGTTGGTGTGTGTTGGTGTGTGTTGGTGTGTGTGTTGGTGTGTGTGTGTTGTGTTGGTGTGTGTGTGTGTGTGTTGGTGTGTGTGTGTGTGTGTGTGTGTGTGTGTGTGTGTGTATGTGTGTGTGTGTGTGTGGTGAATGTTGTGTGTGTGTGTGTGTGTGTGTGTGTGTGTGTGTGTGTGTGTGTGCTGTGTGTGTGTGTGTGTGGTGTGTGTTGTGTGTGTGGTGTGTGTGGTGTGTGTTGTGTGTGGTGTTGGTTGTGTGTTGTGTGGTGTGTTGGTGATGTGTGTGTGTGTGTGTGTGTGGGGTGTGTGTGTGTGTGGTGTGTGGTGTGTGTGTGTGTGTGTGTGTGTGTGTGTGTGTGTGTGTGGTGTGTCGTGGTGTGTGTGTTGTTCTCTGCTCCCCCTGGTATTCCTCCTTCCTTTTCTTTATGGCGGTCATTTTTGACCAGGAACACCATGGTTGTTACAAAGTTCAATGTATTCAATGAAAGTGGTGATCAGCAATTTCATATGTTCAAATGTCTACTGTGAAGGATATCATAAAGCCTGAATGCAATCGGACGTAAAACAAAAAAGTTATGATTGATGAAAGTAGTAAATCGGTCAGATTTGACCCGAAGACAACAGGAGGGTTAAACAAGTGTGTTCATACCATTTCTGGTGTGCAACTGAATAGACAAATGGACTTTACGATTATCTTAGATACTTTATATATAAAGCATGTATAACATATATGCTTATACAATCATATATAACATCATATTCATATGAATCTAAACAACGTTTTGCCCAAGCTTGGTTCATGTACAGTAAATCATTTGAATACCTTAAAAGTCTAAAACTGCCTGTCTGCGTATTGAAGCTATAAAAGAAAATGTTGATTTCAGAACCATGCGCTAACAAACTATTTAATCCAGAACCACAACTGTATTTGAAATGCAGACACATGAATGCTGAAGAGGTCATTACAGCTCCCTCACAAACGAGCAATTGAAAGTCAAATTCATATATTTCAATGTTTGTTTTTTTCACCTATAAAGACCGCAACATATTTCTGCTGAACCTTAAACACACACACACACACACACACACACACACACACACACACACACACACACACACACACACACACACACTGAGCACATACAGCCATGGGGATAATCTATTAAGCAGCATCAAGGCCACTCATCACCTCAGAGCTGTTAAAAAAAGCAGACGCTGTGCTACTGAGTTTCAGCGGAAAAATCTCTCTATTTTCTCTAACGTAAGCCTCGGGCTGGGGGAGTCATTAGGCTAATACATCATTACAGTAATGACTTCCCTTTGTTGCACTGTTTCATTGACCACATGTATTCCTTCAGCCCTCCCGTCCCGTAGCTTAATCTCAGCCCTAAACTGTGATTTTAAACACACTTTAAAAGGACTTTCCACATCTTTTTGTCCTTATGTGGCTAATTGGCGCTTACAAGTAAAAACACACACACTCGGACAATTCCACAGAGGCACACACACCTGCAGAAAATTACTAGGTGATAACTGACAATGTAAATTCCCGCAGAATGAGTGTCAAAACTGTTTTTGCTCTGATTCATGAAAACAGTTCCCCCTCGCTCCGCACACACATGCACACACACACACAACTTGTGTGAAGTAAAACAGATTGCCACTTTAGTGTTAGAGCTCGGTAAATCACGGCGGGCTGTCCATCTCTGAAATATGCAGCCTCCTGGGTGCCCTTAAACGTAAATCTGACCCTCTGTCATGTGTCTGAAAGGAGAGAGCACGGCTGCAGAGTGCGTGTGGAGAGGCAGCAAAAAAAGACATCATTTACAAAGGCAGTAGATAAGAGTAAGATAACAAACTGATACCAAAAGTCAATGGGAGAATGAGAAGAAGATGTGAGAAAAACGTGAATAAAGCAGGAAGAGTTTGTGGAAACATATAGATCTAGATTTACATATCATATACCTGAGTGTGTTTGACAATTTGAATGGGGTAAAGCTCATGTTCAGGTCCATATTTGTATTTAGTGTCTCTACTGTGACATGTCTCCATGCTTTAATGTTCACAAAGCTCTTTATGTTTCTCATACTGCCTGTGATGCACCACATATTTTCACCCTCTGTCTGAAACCAGAGCCCAGTCTGCTCTGATTGGTTAGCTGGCCGGTCAACCGCTTAGAGATGTCCCACCCCTTAGCCTATAACGTACAATATGTCGGAGCGCTAGTAAATGGAAGCGTGAGTGTTACATAGTGATGTCACTATGTTCAGGAAGTAAACAACAGGAACTTTGTGATTGTAGCCCTTGCAGACCATTTACATGCACACAAACCTATATAACACACTACAGGAAAGAAGAACCCCTCCCAAAAAAGGATAATATGGCCTCTTTAAAGAGATGCTGAGGTTCATGGCGTTACGTGCATGTCATGTCAGAATGCAGCTTCCTCTCTGTTACGTAGAGGATCAGAGGAGGGCTGGATAGTGTTATGGCATGAAAACTGAGACGTACTCAACTCTGACCTGAAGATGTTGGGGAACCAATAATAGGACACCATCGTAACTTACATCACTTTGGGAATGAGCTGCAATACTTCACTGTAATTGTACTTAAAGCAAATCCCAGTCCACTTTTAAAAACGTCTTCTTTAGAGGGTCTCTGGGTTACTGTGGTTCAGACCTTTGCACGCTACACTATTCCCATACTACCATTTCCTCACTGTAAGTCAGTCCAGATAAGCTAAATACTTAAAGCTGCCATAATGAATATTTTAATATTAACAACGGGTCAAATGACTACTTGTATGTGAAAGGGTAAGCCCTCAGATAATTACCACCTGACTCTGCAGTGTCTCGTGGCTCTATGGAACATTTAAGGGTCTTTAAGCAACTTCACTTTTTGATTTTCAGGTGCAACAGGCATTGTTTTAGCTTTCAAAAACCCACAGCACCAAACGCTAGTCAGACAAAGGAGTAGAAATTCCAGATCTTCCAGCAACACTTGTATTTATTTGTAATTCTTGCTAACCAATGCCATGCTAATAAACTAATGAAATGCTCCACCCATAGCCTGATTTGCCTAATTGGAATATTAACAGCTGTCAGCCTGCGGTTGAAATGTCTGTGTTTCACACAGAGTACATGAGATTATAAGACCCAAGACAACCAGCAAACAGCACATCACTAATCCACGATCAACCCCTGAAATCCACACTGCAGCGATGAGAGAGCAAAGGGGAGTTGGGGGAGATGGAGAAGGCAGAAGGGGGAGACTATATTTAGCTGACAATATCGCTGGTGCTGTGTTTATGGCGGAGCTTAAGACTTGGTTTCTTGGAACTGGAGTCTCATATGGCTAGGAATGCCCAGCCCCATAACTCGCTGCCACTGATACGGTATCATCACGCAACACAGGGTGAGCATGCAACAAGGCCTTTTGTGATTGGTCAGGGTGGGAAAACATTGGCCTTCACACAAGAGTCAAATAATCATAACTATAAGTTTAAACATATCTAACTTACACAAGAACATTTTAAACTTTACCAACTCATCGCTCTGGAATGAGTTCAGGAGCTACTGTAGTTTTTTGTCACATGATTTTTTATTTTGAGGATAAACAGTGAGTAATTGTTTTGGTATTTTCTGCTGTTGATCTTTCCTTGCCCAGTTTACCCAAGAAACAACTGCATTTTCTTCCCATATTTGCCACTACCTTCAAAAGTTGTAATACATTTTGGAGGTAATGCCAATAAACGCAGACATGTGTCTTTGTGCTAATGATTTGGGAACATAGATAATATAATATATTATTATAATAAAGGCTCCTTTGTTAGTGTTGATTACACTTTGTCAATATTATATGG